CACACACACACACACACACACACACAAACACACACACACTACCGCTAACCTGCCCACACACACACCCTACCCCTAAACCTGCCCACACACACACACACAAACACCCTACCCCTAAACCTGCCCATGCACACACACCCTACCCCTAAACCTGCCACACACACACACACACACACACACACACCCTACCCCTAAACCTGCCCACACACACACACACACCCTACCCCTAAACCTGCCCACACACACACCCTACCCCTAAACCTGCCACACACACACCCTACCCCTAAACCTGCCCACACACACACCCTACCCCTAACCTGCCACACACACACACACACACACAAACACACACACACTACCCCTAAACCTGCCCACACACACACCCTACCCCTAAACCTGCCCACACACACACACACACACACACACACACAAACACACACACACTACCGCTAAACCTGCCCACACACACACCCTACCCCTAAACCTGCCCACACACACACACACAAACACCCTACCCCTAAACCTGCCCATGCACACACACCCTACCCCTAAACCTGCCCACACACACACACACACACACACACACCCTACCCCTAAACCTGCCCACACACACACACACACACCCTACCCCTAAACCTGCCCACACACACACCCTACCCCTAAACCTGCCCACACACACACCCTACCCCTAAACCTGCCCACACACACACCCTACCCCTAAACCTGCCCACACACACACACACACACACACACACACACACCCTACCCCCACACACACACACCCTTACCCCTAAACCTGCCCCCCACACACACACACACACACACACACACACACACACACACACACACACACACACACACACACACACACACACACACACACACACACACACACACACACACACACACACACACACACACACACACACACACACACACACACACACACACACACACACACACAACCCCTAAACCTGCCCATCACAGAAAACTTTCTGCTCTTTTTACATTCTCTAAAAAACATCATTAGTATGTTCATTAATCAATTTCCCCCGCGGGGACCATTGGCTAGTCCTCACAATGTAGGTGATTTCACGTTTTACTATTCTTGTGGGGACATTTGGTCCTAAACATGAGCACACTCTCACACACTCTCACACACAACACACACACCTTAACTAAAGCTTAATTGTCATTAAGAAGAACCTTCGACATCCACGGAGCCACTAAAGGTCGTTTCTAACGTTCTTCAAACAAAAATGGTCGTTTTACAAGCGGTTCTCCTGGGAACCCAAACCGGTTCTTCAATCATCTATCCCTCAGCTGCGGTCCTACAACAGCGATCTGAACGCGTTCAATATCCCGTTCTCTGAGAAACGGGAAGATGTGAACGTGCCTCGGCTCTCAGGTGCTCTTCACTTCTGCTCTCCTTTGTCATGCAGTTCTTCCTACTTTATACTGGAACAAAAGGACAGTGTGTGTGTGTGTGTGTGTGTGTGTGTGTGTGTGTGTGTGTGTGTGTGTGTGTGTGTGTGTGTGTGTGTGTGTGTGTGTGTGTGTGTGTGTGTGTGTGTGTGTGTAAAGATCGAATGACTTCAGTCTCGTGAGAATCCAGCAGGTTCTGAACTTTTGTGAACTTGAGATGCATTAGACCGAGTTTCCTTGAACAAACACAAATAAAAGATCAGGGACTGACTGTAAAACACACAGTTGTGTCGAGACTGAGTTTTAAAGACACACACATCCTGCTGGCTTTCCGTTACAGTTCAAACACACCTGTGTGTGTGTGTGTGTGTGTGTGTGTGTCAACACCTGCTGGATAAACCTGCCCGGCCGACACACACCCGGATGTTCCCGTTAAACACACACGGACTTCATGATGAACTGAAGGATTTAACCCTATACACACACTTCTGACGCTGCAAATGATCTGATAAACCCGTTTTATCAAGTGTTTATTAGTATAATTGTACAAACGTCCTTTAGCTCGTGTCTTTCTGCTGTGAAATCTTTATTGAACATAAGAATAACTTTGATATTGTTAGTAATTTTTCAGCTGGACTGAAGGAACTTCACTTTTACTTGATTATCACATAGAAAAATCATGAATATGATCATGAGGCTTTTGATGAATTTGTTCATCTTTCAGTCATTGTGTTGCATTGCATTATATGATCAACATATTTGATCATAAAACTAAGCATTTACATATCATGGCAGATATAGATGTGTATATGCTTTTTATCAGCTATAGGCTAGGCTACTGTTATACAGATCTCATTGATTTACAGCATCTTACTTTTTTTCTTTTTTTTACCAAATTGCATATTTTTGCTCAGTTTGAGTCTCTGAAGGACATTGAGCTGCTATTTCCTCACTATATGAGCCATAAAAGCCTGATGGATCAAATATAATAAAACACATAGGCAAACTTTTTTGTGTTATCAGCACTCACTCACTTCCACACACACACACACACACACACACACACACCAGATAGTGTCTGATTAAGGTCAGTAAAGTGAGTTTGAGTGTTTTAGAAAGCGGAAACTGAGTCTCAGCAAGGCCTGGCGTGAAGAAGAGCATCATCATCATCATCCGTCACACACACTCACACACACTCACCTTGATCTTGTGCAAGCTCTTCTCCTCCTCCAGTATCTGGATCCACACACAGATGCTGGTCTTGTTGTAGGTCGGACTCCAGCCTTCATCGCACTCACACTCGCGTTGAAAGCGACTGAAAGCGCGATCATCCGGGATCAGAACCTCTTCCCCGGACATCATCGTCTTCATCATCTTCCTCTTCCTCCTGGTGATGATGATGATGAAGAACTGCGGCTCCCGGAGAGCAAACTAACCAAACACCAAAGTTTTGTTTGATTCGGGTTATTCCCTGACGCGCGTCGCGTGATTAAAAAACAAGACGCGCGCGAGACGCACGGGCGTTTCTCTCTGTGTGAACCGAGTCTCTGCGGTTTCGGATCCTGATTCACAATTTCACATCAGATGTTTCAAACATATGCTCATATATAAGCTCATATGTGTTTGTCGCGCGCGTTTAAATATCCAGATGTACACGCGCGAGTGTGTGTGTAAATACACTCATAAATGAGTGTGTCGAAAATAATGAACGCGTTTCCCGGTGAAATGCACAAGCAGCTGTTTCATCCCGCTGTGTGTGTGTGCGTATGTGTGTTATTGATGAGGAAAGGCGTGTGCCCGCTAACGCACACACACATGACTGACAGCTTAGCTCCGCCCACTCGCATGCACGAGCACAGCGCTGACGTGTTACTCCCCTCAGCTTCCCATCATAACCTCTAGTTTACTATTTTTTTATGTATTTTTTGTTTGTTTGTTTGTTTCCTAATTGTACCCCCCTGACTAAAAACTAAAATAAACTTTAGTTTGCGGTTTTATATTCATAAATGTAAGTTTTCAGATTGTAAACCTATTTTTGTGGTATTCTTACACGAGATGAAACATTACTTGATTACAATTTCATCTTCTCTTAACCCAAAAGCACTCAGAACATTTTACAATTTGCACGACATACAAACTTTTGACCTTAATTAATGATTACATTTCTTTTAATTTAAGTAATGCCCTCTTTCTCTGTTTTTCTTCATCAAACCACAAACCCTCGTTTATTCCACATACTGTGTGTTATTCTCATCTCTGACATCATCAAGCTGACGTCTGAATATACAGTTTGAGGACTTTAGACTCTCATGTAAATTATCTCACCTTTCTCCATTAACAGACATTCATTCTGACCAAATAAACATGTAATTGCAAAAAATCAATCTAATTCTATTGAATGTGTCAGTTCATGTATTACAGATGTTCGTTTATCTGAGTGAAGCGATTCTGGAACAAGAACAGATGTGGGCGGGGCTTGATTGTGTCTGTGGGGAATTGATTGGATGATTGGATGGTTGTGGTCTGCTATTGGCTGATCTCATGTGAGTGACAGGTTGCTCCGCCCTCGTCATCAGAGAAGAGAAGAGAAGTTATTCTGATTCACGATTACGAGGAACATTAAGAATAAACACTGCAATATTCCATAACAAAACAATTTTGCTGTAGTTTATTTCAGTATATTGTGTGTCTGTCAACAAACAACATCAAGAGCATTTCAGTGTGGTCAATACCGGATAATTAAATATTAATCATTTCATAATATTAAAAAAATACCTTACTTATTAATAATGTAGAATGCAAAGGGATTTGGACTGTATTCAAGTCTAATGGTCATACTTCCATTAATATTCTGTTGTTAATCCATAAACTGATGACAGAGGGAAAGTGTTGCTCATGTATTTTGTGAGTCTAGACGCCCTCTGCAGGTCAAAGGTCACCAGCACACATATATGCTTATAATTACAATACATATGCCCATTATATATACATATATATGTATGTGTGTGTGTGTTTGTATATATATATAAATATATACACCTGTTTATGTGGGCATTAAAACTGTGCACCGACACTTTATCGGCTTCTGCTGGTCAAATTGCACTACTTACTGTCTATTGCACTTTTTTCTATCTACTGGCGATTTGCACTATTTTACTGTTTACTGTGTATTGCATTGTGTGTATAATGTGAATGTTGAGGGCTGTTGAACTGTCTATTGTAAGATATTGTGATTTGTTGTTGTTTATTCGTGCATTGGTTATATGCACCTCGGTCCGTACGAAACGAAATTTCGTTCAGCAAGAATGACAATAAAGTTTTTGACTTGACTTGAAATATATACAGTATTTATATAATCGATCTAGCGTCGTCAATCAACTTGATCCATTTGGAAAGAAGTGTGTAATAGCTATATATATTTTTTTTTCATTATTGTATATACGCATGTCTAACCATTAAACTTTTAAATAATCATCATAATAATAATATATATATATTTTATATATAAAATAACGTTTCTGAGCGCATGTAGTGCAGTAGTGACGCTGTTAACTACATTTCCCATGA